CCCAGACCCTATGGGTCCCCCACCAGACCCTCATCTCCCCCCCCCACTTCCACGGCAGGGCCGAACTTGGGGGAGCGGTGGGACGCCAGGGGGCCACTCGAACACTGGGGTCCCCCACATCGGTGGGGAGGCCAAGCCAGTAGGGTGCTGGGGGGGGGGATGCTCAACCCCGCTATGAGCCCTCGGAGCCTCCCCGCCGTCGTCCCCCCCCATCCCCGCGGCCGGCTGGAGCCCGCGGGCGCTGGCACGCCGTGGCCGGCGCACCCACACGCGCTGGGGCCGCCGCTATTTCGGGGCCTCCGACCGCAAGAGAAACATCCGGGGGCCGGAGAACAGCGGGGGGGTCAAGGGACAGAGGGGACGCGGTGGCCACCGCCGCCAAGCGGGGTGGGGGCGCGTGGGGCCACCCCCGGTGTCCCCCGGCTGGCGGCCTGCCATGGGGCATGGGGACATTCTGTTATGGGGGGGGGGCTTGGGGACACTGTGCCATTGGTGACACCAGGTTGGGGGACTTGGGGACACTGTGCTATGGGGGGGTACCACACTCCCAGTGCCCCATTCCCAGTGCTACCTACTCTCAGTACCCCCAGTCCCCATTCCCAGTGCTCCCCATTCTCAATACCCCCAGTCCCTATTCCCAGTGCTCCCAGTCCCCACTCCCAGTGCCCCCACCCGCGCACACATGGAAGCGATTCGTGGGCTGATTTTCGCTCCCCTTTGAAGGGCCGCGGTGCCCCCAGCCCAGCTGCTGGTGCTTACCGCAGGACGCCTGGGTCCCCGCGCTCCGCGCAGGGGGGGGGCCATGGTTACAGCCGGGGGGGGGGAAGGTGCCCCCCGGCCCCTGGGGACAGGCATCGGGATGGGGACACCTCCGGCCCTGCCTGGGGACTGCAACCTCCATCCTGCTGAGACCCCCCATACTCATGCCATGGGGGCTGAGACCCTGCAAATTCAAGTCACGGGGGCTAAAATCCCTCCCTGTACTCCTGCCATGGGGACTAAGACCCCCCCCCAAACTCATGTCATGGGGGATGAGATCCCTCCATACTCCTGCCATGGGGGCTGAGACCCCCAAACTCATGTCATGGGGGATGAGATCCCCCCATACTCCTGCCATGGGGGCTGAGACCCCCCAAACTCATGTCACAGGGGCTGAAATCCCCCCCATACTCCTGCCATGGGGGGCTGAAACCCCCCCAAACTCACGTCACGGGGGCTGAGCTGGGCTGATAGATGTGGGTAAATGAGTCAGGGATGGGGGGAAGGAGGGAGGGATGGAGGTGGGAAAGGAAGGAGGGAGAAGGACAGGAGGGATGGAAGGATGGATGGATGGAGGGATGGGTGGAGGGTGGACAGCCGACGGAGGGAAGCAGAACCAGAGGACCGGCCGTGGGGAAGGAGCCCCCCCCTCCCGTCTCCCCCCGCCCCCGCGAACGAACCCAGGCGTCCGGCCGGGGTATAAATACCCGGGTAATTGCGGGGGCCCCGAGTGCGGCCGTGGGGCCCGTGGGCGGCCGGGCTCGGCGCCGCCCTGTAATCAGCCCCCGCCGCCGCCAGCCCTCGCATCCCCCCCCCCGGCTCCCCTTGGCGGGCAACCGCCAAGCTTTGAAGGGTCCCGGGGGACACGGGGGGGGTCCCCGCCACCCCTAAGCTGGTGGGAGGCCCAAACCCCAATTTGCAGCCCCATCTAGGGGACCCAGGCGTTCGGGCAGCTCCCAACTCCCCCCGCCTCACCCCGCAGTGAACCAAACCCTCGTGGTTGACGTCGGTGGGAGCCAAACCCCTGTGACCCCCCCAAAAAAGCCCATGGGGTGCCCCCACCCCGCTGGCTGAGGAAGAGGAGGGATGGAGCGGCCGTCCCAGTTTGCTCCCAGTCTGTGGGCAGTGGGAGCCCTGGCGAAGGCGGGGGACCAAAGGGGGGGGATAGTGGTTGCGGCCTTCGGCGGGCGGCCGCGGCGCCGGCGGCTCCGGAGCGGAAAGCCCTGACTCAGGGCTGGGAAAGGGCCCCGCTGGCTCCCAAACGGCCGTGTCGGGGGAAAAAAATAGGAAAGGGGGAAAATAAAAAAGAAAAGGGGAAAACAGGAAGAAAAGGGGGGAAAAAAAGGGGGAAAAGGGGGGAGAAAAAAGAAAAGGGGGGGGGGAGAGTGGTTGGAATAACTCCTCCACAGTGGGGAAACTGAGGCATGGGGGGATTCCCCAGCCCAGTCTCCAGGGCCGCTCGCGTCCCTGTCCCCAACCCTGCTCCCATACAAGTGTCCCTTGTCCTTGTCCCCAGCTCTGCCCCTCCAAGTCATTCCCTCCCTGCTCTCCCCCATC